TCTACAAATAATATATATATATATATATATATATATATATAAAAAGATGTTTCCCAAATGAAAACTGAAATTGAAATATCTAAGAACCTGCCACACCAATCTCAAAGAATAACAATTCGTTAAATGGTGAAAGCAGAAAATTTACCCATTTTCCGGAAATACAAGAAATTGGTAACCAGACGCCAAAACTGATATTGCTTCACCACCAGTTTCGGGTTCAAGTACAAATGATACGGAGAAATTATCTGCAACATCAAAAAGAAAAGAGCATCAATCAACAAAGAATCAGCCACCTAAAGTTCCCAAACCAGAGAGATCCAAACAAAACTAATCCTTTAAGTGCAAAATTTGAAAAATAAATAAATCTTTCCAACTTTTCAACAGACAAAGCTAACATAAACACGATCCACCCACAACTGCATTTAAAATTTCTTAAAAGCCTACAATTGCCGACAAATAACGCATTCACGATTTCAAAATCGAGCAATCAAAGGAACAACAACAACTATAAAATCAAAAACCCAATTTAGACAAAAAAAAATTGGAAACCCTAAAACTAAGAGTGCGAAAGCAATGAAAAGGGGTTTACATCAAGGGAGCATCCGATGGTGGTGACAACAGCGGCAGTGAGATAGGAACGCGTGATAACAGGCATCTGCTTGTACCATTCTTCAACCGCTTGAGCCATTCTCTAGTTCCCTAATTTCTGCTTACAGAGAATAAAAGGGGAAAGGGACGGGAACGAATGTGAAGGGTTCGGCTGCGATGAGAAAAACGAGAAACGGTGTGATAATCTTGGATGTGACAGAAGCAGAAGAAGATACCACCGAACAATGGAAGAAACGATGCAAAGGGGAAGATGAAGAAGAGGGCACGAGAAGACGAGAATACGACAAATGACAGAGACTTCACGAATCACACAGCGCGTGGTATATACGAACCAATGGCGTTTCTTCTTTTTTGTTTACCCTGTTTTGGGTCAAAATGGATTAATACTTTTTATTAATTTTAGGATAAATTTAAACAAGTTTTGCATTTTTTTTTTTTTACAGGAGTTTTACATTTAATTAAAAAACACTATTTTACATATCATATAAGTATGTGTACATTATAGAATTATTAATTACTAATATTTTATAATCATCATTCTAAAAATTAATTAAATTGTACCTTGTTTTACACATATACTTATTAATTGGATTTTTTATTTAAATATTAAAAAATTACTAAAATTATATTTATCAAAATATTATATTTATTATTCATATCCAAAATTTGATCTTGCACTCACCAATTTTTAACCTAAAATTTTCAATTATTTTTTATTTATGCATTGAAAAATTGGTTAATTATTAACCAAATTTTCAAGTGCATTTTTTATTTTATTTTATATAATTTCAATTTTATAATATATATTTCTGTTTAATTTATTAGTTTGAATAATTAGTTAACATATGAATAAATTCATAATTTTTTATTTTATAATAATATATTTGTCTCTATTATAAATACAATGTTTTTAATGATGATTAATAATTTTCATAATAGATGTGTTTTGATAATTTATTAGAAGAAAGTAAAAATACTATTTTTTATAAATATTTTTAATATATTATAGTCAGTAAAAATAAGATTTTAAACGATATATGAAATTGTTAAATTGATTTTAAATAAATAAAATTAAGAACAAAATAAAAGGTACGATAATAGAAATAAAAATTACTATTGTTAGTTAGAAGTTCTCGCACAATAAAGACATTTTTCTTAGTATGACTATGATTTATACACATGAAATATCTTTTCAGTTTACCAGGTTTTCTCATATTCATTTTTTTTATGTATATGTGAGGATTTTGAACAACTATTTTTTTTTTAATTTCTTTTTGCCTTTGTTTATGCATAAGTGTCTTAATTTAGTCATAACTTATCTCCCTCTTTGATTCAATAAGTTGACACAACCAACACTCTAATTCGTAGGTTTATGATTTTTCTATATACTAAGTTGATTATCTCTACTAGATTGGTGGATATATGCCCCCATCTTTGAGTTCCATTTATCTCGTGGGATTTGATCAAGTCATTGAATAACATTTTTATTTTGTGGTTCTATCTTCAAATTATCATAGTAGTAATTGAATGTAGGTTCAATTATGTCATGTCAGGGAATTTAGACTATACAAAATCATTAAGTTGAAAAATAATTGATGAAACTAATTATTTTGATTGCATGAATAAAAAAAATTACTAACTCATGTTAACTACTTATTTTCTTTTGCTTGCATTTTTGAATTTTTTAATGAAATATTGTGCAATGTATCAAATGCAAAACACATGCACTAAATTCTCTTATGTCCATCCACTGTCGGTATTGAGTACCCACTCTTAATTGACTTATGTCTATCTAAGATCAAACAAAGACCATTTTAGTACTGATGGGCACATGCATCATTAATTATTGTGTATGAATTTGATTTTGAAGTATGTGTGAAAGTTAATTATCAATGTTTTTATTTTGAATTATGTGTGTTGTGAGCTATGAATTTCATTTCAAAACACATGTGAAAATTAATCTATATTTTTTTTATATTATTTTTTGCAATGTAATTGATCTTTTAAAATTTTATTTTCAACGATATATGTGTACTCTTTATTTTGTATTTTATAATAAATTTATACATCTTTAAATTATTTATAACCATTTTTTACAAAAATTTAAAGGTATAAAACAAAAAATATGAATTTATATATATATTAATTAAATTTTCAAGCTAATAAATTAAATAGAAAAATATATACTATAAAAATAATAATATTATAAAAAATAAAATTATAGAAGGAAAAAAAACAAAAAAAAAACTGCAGTTAATTAATTAATTTATTTTTTTTGGTAAAGATGTAGTTGATTAATTGGTTACTAGTTAACCAATTTCTCAGAATTAAAAAAAAAAAAAAAAAACTTAAGTGAAAAATTGGTTAATAAGAGGCTAAATTTTTAACATGAATAATAAATTTAACACTTTAGTAAATATATTTCAAGGTATGATACTTTAGTAAATTTAATTATTTTTTGTAATATTCAAATAAAAAATCAATTAATTGTTATTTAATTACTTTGAAACTTATAATTTAAGATGATTTTATAATGATGTTTTATCGATGTTCAAAAAATATGACTTGCATTAGGGAAGAAGTGCATATCTATAATTTTACTAAAAAAATTAAAATTTTGGTGATTGATTTTGAATTTACATGAAATTGTATCTTATTTTAATCTAAATTATTTGTTAAAAACATTATTAAAGCAACATCCATGTTTTTATTTCAACAACAGATTTAAGTATATTAATAATATAAAGAAATTTGTTTTGATATATATCCTTAATTAATATTTTAGTTTGTCAAATATATAAAATAAATATTTATTTTATAATTAAAATGTATAATAGATAATTCTTTTAAATATATAATTATATTATAAATTTATCCTGATCATTTTTAAATATTTTAAATATATAAATTATATTTTAGATTTATGATAAACAATAAATAACGTGATATAATATTATTTTAATTTAGTGATAATTTATATTAAAATATTAATTTTAATTTAAAAGAAAAAATAATATAAAATCAAATAATAATTAGTGCTGCAGTTGATCTTCAAGATCTCAAATTTAAATATTGAATTTATTAAAAAAATAATACTGGAAGAGATAGTCTTAATGTATTAAAAAATCACTAGTTTTTAGTCAAACTAATAAATACTTATGTCAATATCATGATAAAAAAAATAATTTAAAATTTTCAAATATTTTAATTATGACAAATAATATGTAACTATTTTTGACAAAGCTTTTTTATTTATAGAATAAAACAAACAACTGACAATATATTTCATTTTATCAATAGACGAATATAAAAATGCTGTGAATATAATATATACACGATATTAATTTTATTGTGCATATATTTTGTTGTGTCTCTTTACTTACAATGTTGTGTATATATTATATTCACAAAATTTTATTGTGTATAAAAATAAAATGCTATACCAAGAAGAAGAAAGTGAGAGAGTAAAATTTTTAGTATCTCTTCACTTACTTTTATTTATTTTCACTAACTGAATTTGTGTTTTTAAATGTTAGTAGTTTTGAAACAATTTGGATAGAAGTTTATCACATTTTGACTTAAGTTTTTTAAACATTGTTTTACATAATTTGATTTGATAAACCAATTTTTATCTTTCAACCAAATTTGCAAAAAAAAAAATTTAAAACAATATTTAACCCTTTTGTGTTTTAATATGTTTTACGGTATGTAATCATAGTTTTTCTTTTACAGGTGGAGGATCTTAACATGTGTTAATTAGAGGGAAAACATTCATAATAAATTTAGAAGGATAATTTAAATTTTTCTTATTAATGTCTCTAACTTTCAATGGTGAAGATTAAGTCAATTAAAAGAACAAAGTGAAAATGTATACTAAGTTCACCCAATATTTAAAGGATTATTATTCGCGAAAACCTTCTCTCACTAAACTTGAATATGAATACAATTAAAACAATTTTAACATACATTAACTTAATATCAAAGCAAGGTATATACTACTTATGTTTTATTTAAAGAAATGTGGGATGTTAAATAAATCATTCATGAAGGAAATAAAAATGATGAATTGAGAAGAGCTACAACTCTACAAAGTATTATGAAGTGTACACAATAAAATAAAACGAGCTTTAAAAATTTGAAACAATCATTAATAACTTTTAAAGTTTTCGTGTTAAATTAACTAAAATTTAAAACAATCTCAAGATCTCAATACAACCTTTTCATGATATAAGAATCTAAAAAGAAAAATAGTCAAACTCAAAAAGAAATATTTCACTACAAGAAAAAGGGGTTGAATTATTATATTTTTAAAAAAAACTTATTTTTTTTATGAAAATATGTCCTTTAAAAGGTAGATCTTATGAATGTTTAAAAACTTAGTTTTCTTATAAAACTACCTTCTAAGCAATTAATTTTGATAACAGATTATGCAACAATATATATGTACATATATAAGGCAATAAAGTAAATGCAACAAAAATATAGAGTTAGAGAGATTGTACACTGAGTTTTTATAGTGGTTCACATCAAGTTGGGCTACATTAAGTCCTCACACAACCTTGTGAGATTTTCTCCTAACATAATTACTATTGTTCAACTTACAACTTCAACAACTTGTTGATACAAATTTCTCACTATATAGCCACATGTTGTTAGTGATCTCCACTCAATTACCTATTGAGACTTTTGTCTCAACAACCTGTTGAGATACCCAACCGCATAGTCACCTACTATGAGATCTTACAACCATCTGTTGACTTCTTTCCTTCCTTCTTAATCTCTACGACTTAGATCTGGGTAGGAGAGACTTTTACAAAGAATGAGTTTGTGTATCCTAACACTTAGTTATGGTTACAACAGTTTGTCCTAACTAGAGCTTCCACCAAGAAAGATTCACACTTCATTTTCTCTATTATAAGATTAATACAAATGTAGAAGTGAAGTTCTTTATAAAAACAGAGTATGAAGTAAGGATTACAACTTTCACAACTTATGTTTTGATTCTTCTCATCTTGCTTACTTTTAAAATGTAGTCTTGATCATCCTTTTATAGCCTTCAAAATAAGTTCATTGAGGTTAGCTTAACTTTTAAGTTGTGTTGACATCCATTGTACTTTCCTTTTTTGGTACTATTAGCTTTTCCTTCTGAAGTTGTTACCTTGTGAGCTACCTTCTATTTAAACCTTTTAAGCATAATTTTCAGTACTAGTCTTCTAAGAAGCTAAGTTTTAACTAAAACTTTATGCTGAATGGTTTTGTACCCTCCGGATCTCCAATTTGTCAAGTTGATCGATCAATGGCTCTATGCGTCGCCAACGCTCGAGCCAAGAGGGTTTGTGTACCCTCTTGGTCTCCAATTTTCCGAGCAGGCCGAACAAAACATACCTTCCTGATCCTCATCCGACCGAACAACCTAGACTTTAGGCTGGTCATAAGTGTATTAACGACTGAGTTCCGGTAAAACTAATCAAGGTTATAATTTTCGTGATTATTGCGTAGATTTGATTACAATCATAAATGTGGTTTATAGGTTTATTATAAAGAGAGATCCGCACGCATTTAAGGGGATGAGGATCGAAGATTCGTATCACGTATATGGGACCCATATAAATAAGGAGAAAGGGAACTGGTGAAAGACAGGTTATTCTCATTCTTGAATGTTCTAGGTCAGGGCGACGGCTAGGTTCTCTTAGGATTCACGTCACTAAGGGTTTTCCGGCTGCTATCCCTTTACTAGAATAGATTTAAAGATAGACTTTTGAGTTAAGTCTTCAACGCATTTTCCTAGAGAGGAAATATTGATCCTGAACTCCTTTGATCAATATTCAGTGTGTTCATCAAAATAACTAAGATTATAATGCTATGTAACAACTCAAGTAGTATCTGTTGAAGCTATGAGCTGTAATACTTTGATAAACTTTTGAGTATTGAATAAAATAAATCTAAAACACTCGAACAAATTTGTTAATACTTAACACAATAATTTTTCGTTATTAAAACTTGAAACTAAAAGTTTGTCATTATCAAAATATGAATTAAGGCGAAAGCCAACACAAGAAATATTATATTCAATGATATATAAAAAGTGTCACTATAGTATAAAATATGTAAGTATAAATTTATTTAACATATAATTACATATAATTTTAATGTTAATTTTAAATAATATTTAATAATATATTACGTGTCATTATAATTTATATTTACACATTTAATAATATACTAACATAGATATATGTATCTAACTATAGTGTTGCTAAAAATAATTTTTAGTGAAAATATTGTGTTGCTATTAGTGTTTTAGTTTCTACCGATTACTTATACAACCGGTTCCATTACTTTATCCTCAACAATAGTGGTTAAATATGGATTTTTTAGAAATTAATATTTAAAATCGATATATGTAATTGATGTCGGTTTACGAAATTTTTACGCAAAACGACTGCATCATTGCCCTGTACTAATAATATATGTAATGTGATTCATTATATTAGAATACTAGCGATTTTCTCAAAATATATTTTTTTTATTGTTTACTAAAATTTATTAAAAAATTATAAAATTTGTGTGTGACTCATATCTCGAGTCTTTTTCATGCAACTCATAGGAAGAGAAAGCGGCAAAGAGATTAGCAAGCCCGAATTGACGAGTAGAAATACTATTTTAACACGAGTCTTGGCAATTATTTTTGACTGGCAAACCGATAATAGGAGCCAATGAATGAATATTGAAGAAAAGCTATCTCATTATGTTAAAATTTTCACGTGCTCCTTCTGTCTGAGGCGGTAAGTTGGTAACATGCAGCTGGATAGTATCTCTTTTTCTTTAATATGCCATCATTTGAGTCATCAAATCTTCTACCATGTTTACTATTAAGACAAGTTCTACTTAAATGTTCCAAGTTGTTTTGGTGGCACAATCGATGTGGTCACGTGAATGTGGTGCACTTCTCGGTGGGAATGGGACATGGAATATTTCCATGTCCGTGGATTATTTTTATTTTTATTTTTTCCCATTCAAACTAGCCTTATTGATTAAAACTTGAAAAGACAAAATGTTGAAAATATCTGCATCCACTTGGGCCTGTTTGGTGGGAAGATTTTTCCATTATTGCCATTTTTACACTGGAAGCGATTGACCAACAACTCCTTAAAAAAGATTCCAAATTTCCAAATGGGGATTGCGAATTTATTTTGCATTCTGCATGCCATACCCCAACCCAAGTGTTTCTAACGCGACCTTTCTGCTTAGTTGTGCAAAACATATTGAGATTGCGTTCTGGCTAATAAGCCATGGCATGTTATTGTCTACACCAGTTACACACTTTAACAGGTGAAAGGACTTCAAAGTTGAAACACACGATATAAAAGTTATGTAAAGTAGGAACGTGTGACGTGTCGCAAGTTTGATACATAAAGTTAGCTAAATATCTGCGGGTTGAAATCTTGGATGTCATTTGTGAAATAATATAAAACAACGGGGTCACAGTTTACAAGCATGTTGTACACAAGAATCACTAAGATAAGAACATAGCCCAAATCACGCAAAGGCACCTTAACCAATGTTTGATTAAATAATTCCATAAATCAATCACAATCATGTAAATGCATGGCAGCTCCTAAAACAAGGACCGTTCATTCAAGCAGCTCTTGCTAGAACTTCCAAATTGTCAGACACATCAGCAGGGTCAATGTAGAAACCTCTACTAATTGATCTTGGAACTGTAACAGTTAAAACTCCATCTTCATACCCAGCAGAGATGCCATCAAGATCAACCCTACCCGGCAGCCTAAACTTCCTCTCAAACTTCCTTGCAGGTTGTGTGGATTCATCCACTGCTTCAGTTCTGATTATGAGGTACTTCGAGTCCTGAACCTCTACTCTCAGCTCTTCTTTCTTCACACCTACCATAACAAGCTAACACCAAATAAATAAACAGAGAAAGAAACCAAGTTGATGGATGCAAATTAAAATTTAGTAAATGGACTATAACTCATATTATATAATAATTATCTTAAAAGTTATATCAACAAATTTATAATTTGCTTACAGTACATTTATTATTTATACTAACAATACATAGAAATTGAACTCAAAACCAAAAACAAAGGAAACAAAAGATATAGAAGTATGATTGATGGGAAGGAGTTTATTAATTAGTATGTGCTTACCGGGGATGTCAGCAGAGAATACGTGAGATTCAGGGGTTTCTGTCCAGTGAACATAGTTTTGTGGGATGAAATTGTAGGGA